CTCCAATATCATGTTGCTTCGTGCGTCACACCGTTGCTCCCAACCACGACTACCGACCTCTAGTCAAATCAGACGTCATGCCCGACTCTCCGAGACCCAATCCCGAAGTCCTTCCAATGCCTATGGATGCCTGGTTGCGATCAGACCCCTTTTCTCTGAAATGACAGCCATCACTGTGGACCTTTCCCTTCCCGCCTGACCAGCCGACTTCTCCTCAACCCCAGGTATCCGACTAGCTCGATGACGGTGAGCGCCATTCCGCCTCCGTCGATAGCCTGGCGTCGCCTTACCACCAATAGCGCGCACTTCGACCCTCACCCAAAGGCCCTGCGGGTTTAGGACGCTGTCGAAAGGGGCTTGAGGGGGTGGATGCTACATGTACTCCCGCCACTTTGCAGTGTACGTTGGATCGACAGCGCTTGGCGTTCATGGCGCCGAGTCTCGGGGGTGCAGGAGTCCGTGGGTTGAGATTTCGTCGCAACGTTCCGCAGCAACGCCAGCGCACAATCACGGCTGGGGCGCGCCGTCGTGCGCCGCTGCCCACCCAGCAACCTCAGCGACTGCTCGCTTGTTCGCTCGCATGGCGAACGCGCTGTGCCGGGCCAGCGGAAGAGATTGTGCGTGCCAAGAGTGGGATTCGCCGATGTTGCAACGCCAGAACGTGGTCCAGCTGCCGTTTCCGGTTCTTTGGAAATGCCTCTGCCCCGTGTCCCGTAGGATTGCGACCAGGGGCCCTGCAGCAAGGGACAAGCCACCTGACGTTCCAGACTCGTGCGTCCTTCCAGGATCCTCAACAAACCCATGTGTTTTACCCATGTTTTGCGCACACGCAGATCTAAGACGTTATCGAGCGGGCTGGGGGATCTTATTTGCATCATACCCATCACACCACATCGTATCGGTTCGACAGCCACTGGAAAGCCATTCGTGTTTCATCGGCTGCCGGCCTACCGAGCACGATCAGTGCACACTGCAGGAAGATGAACTGTCTGCCACTTCCATCGCGTGGCCTCGTCTACGCAATCGCTTCTCCCCGCGCCCCAGACTCACGGGCCCTCCCTCAAGCGCCCGCATTCTGCTGGACAAGCACATTCGCTGCTGACACGGTCAGTACGAGTCAGCTCCCGGCTGACCCCGCTGCATCACCGTCTTCCTGAAATGACAGTTTATGACCCTTACTTCCCCGGTGAACTAATCACATCCTCCAGGCCGTCAGAATGAATCGCGGTGGCCGTACTGTACCACACTACCACTTTCCCACGAGTGGCGAGGGTGGCTGCATACTCTAATTAAGCTGTGACTGAGGAACAACGACTCGAGATGCTCAGACGCCTAGTTCGATAAGCTTCTGCTTGTCGTCAGGGGAAGTCTGTCGGGAATCTGCCTGGGCTGAACCTTAACATCTGCCGAAGCGTACTTGTCTCAACCACACGCCGCTTCGCTGACTCGATCAGGTAAGTCTCGCTGCCACGCTGCCAGATCGAGTGGCCTTGGCGAGCTTAGTGAAGACACTTGACTCTGAAAAGACCAATAGTCACGGAGCTCTGGCATCTCTTCAGATGAGGCTGTGATCATGCGCAGCAGCTGGATCAAGTCGTCTCCCACGAAGGTTCACCGTTCATGACTAGCTAAAAGGTCTCACCATGGCCGTCCAAATTGCAATTAAGTTCGATGCGTTTTCGATTCAGCGAACAGATTCACAGAGCTATGGAGCTGAAGCCTATGCCGTTCTAGCGTCGACTTGAGAGTCCGCGGGTGCCTCGAGCGTGGCCCTCTCACTAGTATGCTCAGCCGGGACTTGGGAGGTGGCTACATAACCGTACCATGCGCAAGTCTTTCGCGTTTACGGCTTATACAGTAGCTGTCGTGTCTTTGGGTGCTGCTTTTTTCCACGTCCGCCGTCCAGCAGAGCGCCAATCGTAGGCTCGCGGACGCCGGTCTCAACTGAGTCACAATCTGAATCTGAGTGTTTTTGAAGCACTTCCGGGTAGGGATTGTCATCTTGCTCTCTTGATTGATGGCCATTCGTCCAAGGAAGATGATCTTTTTCTACCACCGCCGGTGGAGTCAAGTATAACTCATCTCGGAATGCTTCGATATTTATCCACGCCATAAGAATCTTTGAGTCGGCAGTCTGACGGTAGGAGACGGAGTATACCCGGACAGAAGGCTGAGGTGACTTCACCTATATCTCTGACCACTGGTACCGGCTGAACACCTCTCAAGTAGCGGCGGGAGAAGATGATTTTCGCACAGTGCTGCAGACCATCGGACGTCAACCATATACGGGGCTGTTGATTTGCGATTGAGGTTTTCGTCTGGTCGGTGTTCGGCTCCAATATGACATAAATGATGTGTGTTGGGTTCGTGATCGTCTCGACGCGGTTTGCAGCATGTGGTGCTTTGGCTAAATCCCATAACTGTTGGGTCATGAGACATGACGGCGACATGTCGTACTTGCAATGCTAATGGTGGACTACAAAACATCAGGAGTGATAGCAATGCACGTTCAAGGTGGTCTCGCCAAATAGCTTTGACAGATGTCAACCTCTTGAAATGCAGTCCGTCGAAAGTCATCACAGGCCTGTAAGGGGCATTTGGGCTTAATTTGGGCTCAAGTTATTCCAAAAGGGTGTATTCAAGGAGCCCCCCACCTTAGTCGAGGATATCTGCCTCACCTTGCATGTTTTCCTTCGATTTTGAATAGCTTTAAACGATTGCTTTACCAGCATCTAGAAGCAGCGATTTAAATTAGTGTAAGGTATTCATCCGCTGTCATCTTCAAGTGACCTACGCCGATGTGCTTGTCATATCGGCTCTCACTACTTTAAAAAGTGACTTCTCCTTCGCCGAGACATTTTCATGTCATGGCTTGGTGACACAGCGCAGGAAACTATGGCAGCGAGAGATTGATATACTGATCTTCTCTTGTGCATTTAATGCTTTATGGATCAAGCTCAAAGCTTACCTCGGGACTGAGCGAGAGAAAGCTACACCCTGCTCACAATACCGTACCAATTCGTCGTTCAATAGTCACTGAGCCTGCTGAAAGCTGCAAAGATTGCAGCTTCTCACTCCTGGAGTTCCGCGTGAACAGCGCACATGACCATTGAAACGGGCGTATGAGTCTGATGAAGCGGCATGATAATATCTGAGAAGAAAGCAAGGTATCTGGCATCATCGCAGCACATGTGTGAGGAGATACCGGCAGTGCCACGAGACAAGGGGTTGGCCTCAGTACTTGATTTGGGGCAGGGTGAAGAGGTCTTCCATACGTGGTCCGTAGGTAATAGAATATAGTTAGGGGCTCGGAACACATCTAATTTCTGACCCCCCGCAGTCCCCATATATACGTTCTCGTAGCCTTTGGCCCCCTCCGTTTAACCTCTGCTTGGTAGCTCAGCATTGCCATCTGACAGCTAGTCAGGGGCTAAGGGCTATGAGAGCGTATATATGAGGACCACGGAGGGCCCTCCAAGCTGCGGAGGGCCAGAATTCAGATGTGTTCCGACCACATACCTGTTATCTATTGCCTGCGGACCACGTAGGGAAGACCTCTTCACTCTGCTCCAAATCAAGCCCTGACAACGTGTCGGTTCGAAACACGATCTGACTGATAGATGGTTAGCGTACGGCGGGGACAATTGGACAAAATAAAATAAAAGACAGAAGAACGCAAAGTTGGATCGCAGTGGCCTTCAATTATATTGACTGTTGTTGTAAGAACTGTGTCCTTCCTGTCAGCGGTAGCATGGATGATTTAGTTAAACCCTTCGCGTCCAGAGGTGAAGGCATATGCCTCCGGTTCTGATTCTTGATTCTGACTCATGGAAGCGTCTTTAGCGCATGATCATGGAAGAGAAGGAGCGGAAGGTATCGTGGAAAGTGCCCAAGATAAAAGTAAAACGGATCTGGGTGCGTTGCGCGGTTGGCTGTCTTCGGAGACTGAGGCGTCTACAGTGGAAAGCAAACCTCACTGCGAGGAAGACAGCGCGTTATGTTAGGGGCATTGCTTCAGAGAGAAATTTCGATCGCCTCCTGACGACACGTCGTCAAAACGTAAGTTGATCCAACGACCTGGGAGTTGATTCGATGTGTCAGAGCGTGGTTTGGGCAGAGCAAAGAGGTGTTCCGTACGTGGACCACAGGCAATAAGAAATAGGTATGGGCGTGTAACAACTCTGAATTCTGGCCCTCTGCAGTCTTTATATCCACGTTCTCGTATTGCTTCGCCCCTTACCAGCCCCCTTTTCCGTGCCTTCGTAGGGGCCACCTGACACAATGGCTCAAAGACAAGGGGTACATTTGCAGCGAGGACACCTTTCAATGGCGACGTACTTCAGTCTAAGAAAGCTCGAATTGTGTCAAGAAATATTCTCAAATTGAGATTATAAGTATTCATCTACTTTTCGTGAGCCGAGAATAGTTAGAGGCTGACTTACGTGAAGATCGCGATACTGATGAGTTCTTCTACGGGATTTATGGATGTGAGATTTCATATCGTCGTGACCACATGTGCTTGAAATTAGGAAGAGGCTAGGATGTGTCAGGGGTTTTATAATGATACCTTCAGTTGTGAACCTCATCCTTCCGCGGATGCTCCAGCCGTCCCCGAATAAAATGGTTGACTGCTTGAGCTCACCATGCGCCTTGTGATCTAGTAATGGACATTCACTGACTAGTTACTTAGTTACTGGATGGGACCACATCTCAGTATCTGCAACTAGCAGGCTCTGGCATAGATCCTTTGTAAAAAGCATTGCATTTTAGCCTATGTGGTTCGTGTAGGCTTGCTGTTCGATGTTGGCCGCATGCAAGGACATGCAGTATGACGAAGTGAGATGGGTAGCTCGTATGGGTACCTGATCTGCCTATACGCCCAAAGTTTGTGTCTCGTCTATTAATTCGCCCCGAACCGCCGACTCCCAGTGGCGAAGTTCAGCAATTGCCCACCCATTATGGTTACTAGACCTCAACTAGCAGTGCCTGACATGGTCGCCATGAACTCGACGCCAGAGACCACCGACGGTCCCATGATACCAGCTTGGAGCACAGCCAGCTCTCTTCGCGACTCACTCACGTGCGGACTCAGCAGTCTTTTGGTCACACCGGCTGTCGCATTCTTCGTCTGATTTCTTGTACCCTACCTAGTATCACCATAAGAAGATATCCTAGGCCGCTTCTAGGTCGCTCCTTGCAAGTATCGTTCTCCAATATGGAACATTCCCTTTCCAATTCTTCGTGATTATGACATTTGAGAACAGCGAGATGGATGATGCCTATGGACATGATTTGACTGGGATGTTGGTTCAGGGGTGACAAATTTCTGGCGCTTCCGGTAGGCGATCACAGCCGACTATGCGCCGCGGATTGGAAGGCTTCACGAAAAGTACGATCCGATCGTCAGGATAGGTTAAAATCTACTGGAATTTGACATCCCTAAGCTTTCGAGAACAATCTACAGTACCGACGGAAAGTGGAAGAAGGTAAGTACACGTCATGCCGAGCCAGATGACGTCGTAAATCGGCTCATTTTACATTGGGAGTTGACCGACTTGTGCAAAATCAGCAGCTCCGTCACCGAAGGGAAGATCACTCACCATATGTTCAGTCAAGTGGACAATATTTTTCATACCCGCCTGAAGCGCCCAGTCGTGTGCCATTATTCTGTCCCGAGCATGCTGGCCATGGAACCACACATGAACGAGGTTGTCGAAACATTCTGCGACCACCTTCAGAAACGCTTCGTCTACCCCGGAACACTATGCGACCTTGACGAGTGGCAGGCATACTGTAAGATGCGACGGGTAATTCACCGTAAACTGCGTTCGTCATACTGACGAGCCGGCAGTTGCCTAGGATCTTCCAAGAGCTGTAACATTCAGTAAGAAGCTTGGTTACATGGAGGAGGGTCGCGACTTCGACGGTACACTTGCGATCGCTGACTAGTGCATTGACCTTCTTGGGATTTGTGGCCAGATGCCCTGGCTCGATCATTGTCTTGACAAGAACCTGTTCTACGCATTGGGGCCGCCCATCATTTCTTACGTGACAAAAATCGCCATTGAGGCTTTGACGGCCCGGCTCCCAGGAGAGCACGCAGCATGCACCAATGAAAACCCAGACTTTCTACAATACTTCATCGAATCCAAGACATCACATCCTGAGATTGTAGACGAATCTACAATCATTGGGCATCTCCTGCTGAACCGTTAGTCACCCACGCCGATGGTGAGACATTGAGACATGCATGAGCTTATGCTGACACCGCGCCGACAAGTGATCGCCGGAGCCGACACAACAGACATTACCATGAAGGCATTGTTCTACTACTGCCTCAAAGACCAGCGTGTATGGAAGCGGTTAGAGTCCATCATTCGGGAGCATGTCTCTCCAAACACAACGTGCTCCCATGCAACGGCCCGCGCCCTCCCCTACCTCGAGGCCACAGTTCGCGAGACACTCCGCTGTCATCCTGCCGTGTCAATGGGCCTGAAGAGAATTGTTCCAGAGGGCGGCCTGGTCCTTCCATATGGCACCGTCGTTCCAGCAGGAACTTTTGTCGGCATTAATATTTACATTGTGGGACGCAACAAGGGAATTTTTGGTGCCGATGCCGATGAATTTCGCCCAGATCGCTGGCTTCAGGGCGAAAACGAGTGGAGAGGTTTACAAGGAAAGGATGCAGCTCTGGAACGCGGCGAACTTGGCCTTTGGTCAGGACTCCCGTATCTGCCTAGGATGACATCTCAGCCTCATGGAGGTGCACAAAGTCGTGCCCTCTGTCATTTTGAGGTTTGATGTTGAGCTTGCTGATCCGAATGAGAAGTGGTGGATGTGCTCGAGGTGGTTCTTCCGCACCATAGGCATCGTGTGCAAGCTCAAGGCAAGGAGGAAACAGCCGGGCGAGCATTCCCCCTCTCGGGCCAGGAGAGAATGAATGACATCATGCTCCTCGGTTGGATGAGACAGAGCGATGAATCCGTGCAAGTGTGCAATATAGGGTGCCTCTAAGCTAGCCTTGTTCCTTCTCCTCAGGCCTGACGTCGGCGCCCTTGTGATGCAAAATAAAGGACGAGGATTGCTTCAATCGGGATATTCCGTGGCCACGTTGCGTTGAGATCGTCATGGTGAAGCTTTCGGAGTTTATGTCCCATCGCGATCGTGGAGCTGAATTGACAAAGTTGACGGCGCGGGCTGAACAAGGTTATTGCTGTCACGATTGCGCGAATAAAGTCATCACCAGATGCCTCACGCCGTCTAGACCAAGGCTCAAAGGCTCCGAAATGAGCTGTTTGCGTCTAAGAGGCTACGCCGTTTGTTTGCTTCTCCTCAGGGGCAATATGCAACGGGCGAAAAAGAAGCTCAACTATGGTGCTATGGGGGCAACTGTCGAGCCTCGATCCGCATCATCTCCCGCGGAGTGGATTTCAAGGTTTTTTATTCGCGCGGGGGGTCAAGAAGAAATGAAAAGGCTGCCATGGCGCTGCGTCCGTTTGCATTTGTTTGCTGCAGAGGCTTAACCTCAGACAACGGAGACTCGGGCACAAGCGCGGGCACTACGGGTAGCCGCCCGGTGGCTGGCGCAAAACGGCGCCATCTGAATCAAGTCACCGTCTTGGCGATGACAGAACTACACCTAGCGTGCGGTGTTTTCTCCCTCTTCTCACGGTGTATGCTGCGAGGGATGTTGAGTCGTTTGGCCGTTTGCGACGACGAGGCTCGACGGAAAGGCGTCATGAGGACGGGCCGTCGCAAACGGCCAAGAAGTCTGGACCAGCCACAAGAGCTGAAGTGCCTAAGGTAGGGTAGGGTAAGGTGATGCACCCCCTAGGGAGGCATTCCTAAACTGCCGCCCAGCTCTAGCTCGCGAATCGGAGGAATCGCGCCCTCCTGCATTTCCCCTGCAATTTGGCGCCACGCTCCTTGCCGCCCCCCCTTACATTCCAGCCGTCATCGTGAGAAATGCCCGTCATCGTGAGAAATTCCCGTCAAGAGAGAGCATGGCCTCGACTCACGGCTCAAAATCTGGCAGGACTATTTAGGCTTGCCTGTTCCGCTCACCATGTGGCTATGGGTATTCCCCGATATCGACAACCTGGGGTTGACTTTGCCGATCACTTTCTATATCCAGATCACTTTGACGCACATTACCCGCGCCTAAGCTCAAATAAGCTCTTAGCACGGATTACCTCAGCTTGAGCTACTGGTAGCTCTCAGATCCCCCCACGATGTGGACGCGTACTCTCTCACCCCTCAAGCCCTGCGCTCTCCTTGCCTTGGCAGCTTCCCTTATCATGTCTACCGAAGCCCTCCCTGTCGAAGAGCGAGCAGCCGCCGCGAAGAAGCCTTGGGTGCCGGCCATCGGCACGACGTGGCAGATTGTGCTCAACGCGCCGCTCAAGATTGATCCCAAGAAGCCTGTCGTCACGCCCGACGTTGCCGTCTACGACATTGACCTGTTCGACAACACGGCCGAGACCATCGCGGCGCTGCACAAGCTCAACAAGAAGGTCATCTGCTACTTCAGCGCCGGGACCTACGAGGAATGGCGGCCAGACGCCAAAAAGTTCGCCAAGGCCGACTTTGGCAAACCCATGGACGACTGGCCGGGTGAGCGCTGGCTCCAGATCAAGAACACCAATGTCCGGAACATTATGGCCCAGAGGATCAAGCTTGCCGCCGAGAAGGGCTGCGACGCCATCGACCCCGACAACGTTGACGGTTATGTGAGTCTTTCCCATCCCACGGTGCATGATGTATGAGTCCATCGACTAACACCGTGCCGCAGTCCAACAACAACGGCATTGGTCTCACAAAGGCCGACACGATAGATTTCGTCAAGTTTCTTTCCAGCGAGGCGCGCAAGTACGGCCTCAGCATCGCGCTCAAGAACGCTGGCGAGATCATCCCTCAAGTCATCAAGTTCGTCGACTTTCAGGTGAACGAGCAGTGCGTCAAGTACAACGAGGCCAGCACCTTTGCGGCCTTCATCAAGGCCGGCAAGGCCGTGTTCCACATCGAGTACCCCGACGGTGCGCCGGGCTCTGTGAGCTCCAAGGCCAGGTCGTCCATCTACGCTGCTCCCGGGACGGAGAAATTCAGCACGCTCATCAAGACGATGGATCTCGACGGATGGGTGCAGATGCGCGACGGCAAGCAGTACACCACCAAGACTGGGTACTGATCGGCACGGGATGCCGTAGTTGCGGGCAACTTTGTACGCCATTTTCTTTTGTATGTTTATGAGCAATGATTATGATTACCCTTTTGTATCTATCAATATTTTCATCTCGCCCTCGTGCTCGAACACGAGCTGGTGAATTTGTTTTTGTGGTTTGACATGCTAGGAGGTAGCGATAAAATAAACATGTACCACGCTGATAAAAAGAGGCACGTCGCTTCTCACCTTGCAGTCAAGGTGACTCAAACTTCAAATCCAATATTGAATTGAGAAACATTCAAGTGTTCCTGCACCTCCAAACTTCATGCGAGACAGAATTCACTGTCGGTAAATGTACATTTTGGGCCGGTTTCGGTTGAAAGGGGCTTCTAAAGATATGTACTCGAAGAAGATGAATGCCCAGCATCTACTCGTCCCAAATGGTAGCGACGACAGCGCCAGTCAGCACAACCTCGCCGACCTTGCCGCCGTCCTCCTCGAGCACGATCTTGCCAGACCGGACGTCGCGCTTCCAGATGGTCACGGTACGGTTGTTCTGGTGGCCGACGGCAACGAGAGTACCAGCCTTGTTGAAGGAGAACTGGCGAGGCGACCATCCGCCCGAAGGAGCGAGCTGGACGAGCTTCAGGGTGCCGTCTTCCTTGATGGAGAACGTGGACAGGGTGTCCGAGGGGCCGGAGCCGAGGATGGGGGAGTCGCGGAACGACTTCTCACGGTTGGATACGGTGAGGAAGCGGCCGTCAGGCTGAAGGGCCTTGTCAGCTTGGTGTGAAAAGGTGGACTGCGGGGGAAAAACTCACGCTCAGAGCGATCTCGCTCGTGGGCGCTCTGGTGGCAGGCAGCGCGGCATCGATGGCCGGGGCGTCAAAGACGTGGGTGAAGACAAGGCCGGCAGCTGTGTACTCGACAGAGTACGAGTAGACCTTCTGGTCAAGCTCGCCATTGAAGAAGAAGAATGTCTTGCCGTTGCGGGCCTTGCGGAAGAAACCATGACGGGGACCGGAGCCGGGCGGGGCCGCAAGTCCGGCCACCTCGGCGATAGGAGCGACTGTCACAGGGTCGTACGTGTAGACGCGAACACGGTCACCGCCGAGATCAGGAATGAGCACATACTGATTCGTGGGGTCGATGATGACGTGGTGAAGGTAGCTGCGGTCCTGGCGCAGAGTGACTGGACCAGTCGTCTCGAGTGTCGGGTTGATCACCTGGACGGGGCCCGTCCCAGGAAGGGCGCCATTGTCGCCAAGCGCAAAGACGGCAGCGGCACTGCGGTTGCTGTGGGGGGAGAGGCAGATAAGCTTCAAGCTCGGAGGGCTCGGCTCGGGAGATGATGGGAAGCGACTTCGGCGCTTTGGCCCGTCAATTAGGGGGAAAAGGTGGACTCACTATGAGGCCGAGATGTAACCCCGAGCACCAGTAGAGGTTGTCAGGATCTCACCAGCGACTCCGCTGAGAGGGGCACTGACACGCGCAATACGAGACAGCAGACCGTCTTCTCCAATGGAGAAGGAGTTGAGAGAACCGGACGCAGAGGAGCCGGCACCGCGGTCGTAGCAGTACAGCACTCGGTTGGGCCCGTCAAGCGTCAGCCAGGAAGGGTTGACCTCACAGTCGCGCGTCTTGGAGGTGACAGAGAGAGTGTAATTATTGGTGCAGCCAGTGAGGGACAGTGTCGTCACGTTACCCCCCGAATCAGCGGCGAAAAGAGTGACAGCACCGGCCGAAGCCCAGAGGGCCGAGCCGGCAAGGAGGGACTGAAGGGATGAACGCATGGCCGTTGCTGTAAAGATGAATCGCCCACGCAGTGAATGAGCGTGAGGTGTGAGAAGACGTGTCCTATCCTGAACTTTCAGACGACAACTCGACGAGCAGCGGATCCCTTTTTGAGAGTTTTTTCAAAACTCAAGGGGCACAGGGATGACGAAGCCTCATCTCCAGGAAATGTCACGACACTTTCAACAACGATCATTGAGTCGCAGCTATATGCAGGCTGCGTAGTTGTCTGCCAGGAGGGGTCGGAAAAGACTAGCAAGCAAGTGTCGGATAAGTTGCATATTGAGTATGGTTACCGAGCATGCCGACACGAAAGATTTCAGGGGTAGACAAATGACTCGTCACCAAGGTAGCCCCAAAGTGCCGCAGTCGTCTGCAGGTTGACAAGTCTCGGTTGCGCATGAGGCAAAGCAGCACTAATATCTGCCCATGAGGCCATAGAACCCATGCAAGCGGAGCGGACGGACCACATAGCGCCCCAATGGCGCAGACCATGCCATATATGTCATGAAGACCGGGAGGGTTTCCAAGCTTCCCCAAGAGCTTATTATTCTAATCTGTACTGAACGGGGCTCCTGGGGCCGAATTCAGGTCTTGGCCCCGAGGGCTGTGCGAAGCCTCACGGTGGGAAATGCTTGCTCAAACGAGCCACGCGCCCCGTCCCGGCGTTCCGATTAAGGTAGGTTGATCTGATAAAGTTCAGATCATCCCAAGTCCACTCTGTCTGCCGGGACAACAAAACATCCGCCGAACAAGGGTTCTGAGAAGCTTTGTAAGAGGCATTGGGTGGTTTGAGGTCCTTTTGCGCACACAGAACGATGGCCCGAAGTACCGAGACTCGATCAAGGCGCAAGAGTGCCAAGACTCCTGAATGATTCCTCTAAGATTGTCGCCAGTCCCTTCTCTCGATGCCCACCAGTTATAAGTAGGTCGTCTGTACGATTGTGGCTTATCCTGGAGTCTCTGGAACAACACGGCACTTGCTTTCTTGTTCCTTTCGCAGTCTCCTTTCTGCCTTTGCCCTCAACATCATCAGTTATGGACTCCACTTTCTCTCTTCGACGCTTGGCCGTCGCCTCGCTCCTTAGCCTGGCCCCTTCGGCCGTGTCTGCCCAGACAGACAAGTCGGCCGCTCTTCAGTCTTGCCTCACCACCGCGGACGTTCGCTCCATCGTCAGCAGCGATGCGACATGGCCTGATCAGACTCTCATGTTCCAGAAGCGCCTGACTGCCGCCCCTGCCGCCATCTCGTTCCCTGAGACCCGCGATCAGGTTGCTTCTTCCCTCGCCTGTGCCCGGGAGTCCTCGGTCAAGGCCGTCGCCCTGGGGGCTGCTCACTCTTTCACCGGTTTTGGTTATGGCAACGCTGGCAACCTCGTCATCAACCTGGCTGCCTTTGACGAGGTCAGCTATTCCAACTGCTCCGACACGCTCACCTTCGGTGGTGGCACGCACGTCGGCCCCGTTCTGAAGTATCTCTGGGACAACCATGGCCGTCACATCCCCCACGTCCGTGGCGCTCACGTCGGCGTGCCCGGCTCTTCCATCGGCGGAGGCTTCGGCAGCACCTCGCGCCACTACGGTACCCCCATGGACAACATTGTCGGCGTCGAGTACATGCTGTACAACGGCACCGTCGTCAACGCCACCCACGGGTCTGACCTTCTCTGGGCCGCTCAGGGTGCCGGCGCTTCCTTCGGTGTCATCCTCTCCATGACCACCAAGACCTTCAAGCCCGAATTCGCCGATGCTACCAGCTTCACCATCAACCTTGGCAACCTGGGCCTCAGCGACGCGACCAAGGCCCTCGTCAAGGTTCAGGACTACGCCCTTGCCGAGACCACCCCCGATGAGCTCGCCATCCGCTGGAACCTGGCCGCTGGCACCTCTGCCCAGGGCTACTTCTACGGCAACCCCGCCGCTTTTGACGCTGTCATTGCGCCTCTCCTCAAGGAGCTCAGGGCCATCAACGGCACTCTCGCCTACGCCAAGACTGTCCTCCCCTTCTGGGACATGGAGGTGTCCGTCGCTGGCGCTGGCATGAACTCCCCCACCGGTGGTGCCCTCGGCGGTCGCCACTTCTACACCCAGGCCGTCACCACGACCTACGACAACCCCCTGACCGTGCCGCAGATCACTGCCCTGCTCAAAGTCACGGGCAACAACTTTGCCCGCACCGACATGCGCCAGGGTGGCTTCCTCGACCTCTGGGGCGGCATCTCGCGCGACATCTCTGATGCCGACACTGCCTACGCTCACGGCGGCAACCTCTGGCTCATCCGCGTCGACGGCACCTCGCTCAACACCAGCACCCTCCTGCCCGCCGACGCCCTCACCTACATGAAGGATATTCTCCTGCCCTTCGAGGACGCCCTCACCAAGGGCGGCGTGCCCCTGCGCGGCTTCGTCAACTACGCCGACTCTGAGCTCCCCGAGGCCGAGTGGAGCGCCCGCCTCTATGGCGAGGAGAACTACAACCGCCTCAAGCAGATCAAGAGGGCTGTTGACCCCGAGAACCTCTTCACCAACCACCGCCAGTCCATCAGCACTTGAGGTGCGGAATTGAGTTTTCGTTCATGACCACCCAATCTTCTTTTTTTTCCACAAACCAATTTTTTCTTGTACATGTTAGGATCTGAACAAAGTTCGCGGAGCAACCAAAATTGAATAGCCTTGAATTGGAACATGCAGCCACAAAACCTTGGCCCCCATTTGCTTGAATGCCTTGCTTTTCCGAATCCACGGATCGTAACGTGTGGTTCACTCTGTCACAATTTGGGCAGATTTGCGTCTGCCGAAAAGGTGCCAGATGTCCCGGCAGGCAAATTGCGTGCATTGGCGTAAAAGTCTAACCCACGAGGCAACGCTGGCCTGTAAATGACGACCTGGGGCTCGTACCTGTAGAACTCGCGAGCGAATGCGGCAAGCCGGGACGCCCAAAGCAGACAGACGCGACGCACATACGCAGCGGCCGCTCAATCTTCCCACCCCACGGAGGTGTCAGTTCCTTCGAGACGTGGCCTACCCAATTGCAGTGCGGCGTTGATGATCCGGAAGCACCTCTTCTGGAAGGTCAGCTGGTGTCTGGATTCCCTACCCAATGTGCCAATGTGGGGGGGGGATGAAGCCACCCCTGGACGCCCTCAAGGCCCTGGACGCCCTGGACGCTTGTCTGCAGGGAACATGCAGGGGATTTCTTCAACGGCGCGCCCCTTTGTCAGCATGACTGAGGGTGCTTGGCGATGAATCCAGACTCGCTGCTCTGAAACGAAGCTGGGAGATTCACGAGATGAAGATGAGCATCGCGCCTTGCGTCCCGCATTCAAGGATGGGGATCTGCGAGGCAGCTTCCTCCCTTGATCGAACAGCCCGATCTCAGATGCTATCCAGCATGTGAAAAGAAGGCGGGCGACCTTGGCCAAGGTCGCATCGCCCATGACAATGTGGTATCACTCGGCAAGTCGGCACAGTCGAGCGCGAAAGGATCACCATTGCTTTTCCGCTTCGTCGTCCGTCGTTCCAAGACGTGCGCGTATCCTGCATGCTGTCTGCCATGTACAATGATGGTGAATTGGTGTTCCAGTCTGGGTCGCTCTCCCTCTCTCATCCTCATCCTGTGTGTCACGCCTCATGCATGCCCAGAGATGGCCTTGGGCTGGTACAGCTCCTCGAGGTACTTCTCCTCCTCCTCGGACAGACTCTTGCCCCGTGCCGACAGCGCCTGGTCCAGCCTCTCGACGCTGCTGAAGCCGATGATGGGGCTCGCCACGCGGCGGTTGATCCACGCGAGCGCGACGTGCGCGATAGCCCAGCCGTGCTTATCCGCCAGCTCGACGACGCGGCCGACAATCTCGCGGTCCCGCTCCGACGTGCCGCTGCCGCCGCCGCCCGCCTGGCCCGCCTTCTCGGCCCGGCTCCGGTCCGTGCTGCCAAAGTCCTCGGGCCTGCGCGCCAGGTGGCCGCGGCACAGCGGCGCCCACGGGATGAGCCCGACGCCCGTGTCGTTGCAGAACCGGTTCATCTCGCGCTCCTCCTCGCGGTACAGCAGGTTGTACTGGTTCTGCATGCTGACAAAGGGCGTCCAGCCGTTCTTCTCGGCGACGAACTGCAGCCGCGCAAACTGCGTCGCCCACATGCTGCTGGCGCCGATGTAGCGCACCTTGCCCGACTGCACGAGGTCGTGGAGCGCCTTCATCGTCTCCTCGAGCGGCGTGCGCGCGTCGAAGCGGTGGATCTGGAGGAGATCAATGTAGGGCGTGTCGAGGCGCTGCAGGGAGGCCTCGACTTGGTTGAAGAGGGCGGTGCGCGAGAGGCCGAAATTGTTCTGGTAGTCTTTCGAGGCCTCAAACTCGGCGCGGTTGACAAAGTGGCGGGCCTCTGGTGCTTGGTCAGACAGGGTCACGCGTACCTGACAGCAGAATGGTGACCTACCGGGTTCCTCTCCAACGGCCCAGTGGGCCTTGGTCAGGATGACGACCTTGTGGCGGGGAATGCTGTACTTCTTGATAGCCTTGCCTACAATGATCTCCGAGGCGCCGTTGCTGTAGACGTTGGCTGTGTCCCATGTGTTGAGGCCACGGTCGTAGGCCGCCTTGAGCAGAGGGAGAGCCTCGTCCTCGCCGATGACCCAAGGCAGAGTCCTCTTGTCGCCGAAGCTCATACATCCGAAGATGGGCACCGAGACTCGGAGACCCGACTTGCCAAGCTGGCGATACTCAGCTTTGGAGTTCTCCAGAGACTCTTTGAGCCCGGCCGGAAGCTGCTTCGACATGGTGGGCGTTGGGTTCGGGGGCTATGATGTAGGAGATGGGTTGTAATGAGACGAGCACGGGATCTCCGACCGCTAGCTGTGGCGTTGGACAAGATGCAGATGGGCGAGGAAGATGGCCAAAGTTGAGAGGAGAGCTTCAGAATAAGAGCTCCGGGGATCGAGCTGACACGACCCCGCACCTTTTGTCTGCCCCTCACACGGCCGTGAAACGTCATTGACGCCTGAGCTGCCGCAATGTGGGGCCGCGTCTGCGGCTGCCGGAAGCTCACGCCCGGATGACCAAGCTCGGTCTCTGCCTTGACGATCCGATCATTGGGCTTTTGTCTCGATTGCCTTGGATGCTTGTGGCTTGGAGCGAGATATTCCGACAAAGTTGTGCAGTTTAGTGCTATGCAACAGGCCAGGAGCATCGCCAAAACTATCACTGGATGCCGGACTTGGTGGGGCCGTCCCCGGACGGCTGGTGTTTTGCCCGGAAATGTAGGCTCGAGGACGCAAGAGACGGAATAACTCCCAACGGAAAAGCAATCACTAATCGGACTATTTCCAGAGGCCAAAACAATGACAGAGAGCGTGGCATTGGTTTAAAAAATTTCCGGCCATCCATCTCAGCCCTATGCCCACTACCGGAGGTCCCATGGCTCTGGCCCAGGAGCAGAACCTTGCCCCTGAGCCTGCAGCCGGTCGTTTCAAGCTTTAGCCCTCGCGTTGAGGCACGTGGTGCCCCTGGAGCTTGGAGAAGTTAGAATTCTGTCTGAGCACAGTGCTTCGCCTCTTAATCTTGCCACAGGCAGATCAGAGTCGTGGTAGTGGCCCGAGTTTGACGAAGTTACCACTCGGGTTCTCACACGGATGGAACATGGGGTGGCCCTGACCAGTCCTTCACTCCCTGCAGCTACATGCGAGAATTCCAATCACGAATCCCAACCGCCTCGGCAATCAAACTACATCAGAGCAACGGTGCTGTTGGCGTGTCGCCCCAGGTAACTGCAGGCGGCTAAATAGGGGGGAACCATCCAAGCGTCCCGGGAAGCGTCCCTGGCCCCGCATCAAACAATGGCACTACCTTGGAAAGCTAGAGCTACAATGAAAGTCTTTTGCCCGCGTGAGGAGTTGCATGGAACTGGCCCGCGGGCATAAATCGCCCTTCGTGCAAGCCCATAGCTTGATCAGCCCAGCCATTATGCTGCCGTATCCCGAGTTGGGAGTTCGCCACCTGTGGAAATCCCGATGGGTATGCACACTCTTGGATACAAATGTCTTGTTGTTTTCGTACGTCAAGCCGCTTCAATGCTTGGATATCGCCGTGGAGAAGCTAACGTTGTTGACTTTGCTATCCCTGCTTTTAACCTGCAGCCTGCAATGGGAATCCAAACCCTTGAGCAACCTCGCGCGTCAGACTCGGCCTAATAGACTGTACTGTGGCCCGTATTGGATACATCATGTCCCTTCTGACTCCTACACCCAAAGAAATGCTTTTTTTAGCCCACATGAGGCTCGATGAGTTCCATCGATTACAATACCTGATCGGAATATTGCTATGGCCAGGCTCCAAAAATGCCCTTCGCCAGCTCACCCACAGAGTCCAGTCCCTCATCGAAGCTTCTAGAACTGGAGGGAAAAGCCTCGATTGCGAGAATCCAGCAAGGCATACACCTTGCATCCGTACGCGTTGCTAGCTTGGCAACTCACGACGTTGCTGTCGACTGTACACCCAACGCCGGCCACGCTCTGGCCCGATATTGTTCTCAACCCATTTGAACTTTGTCTTTACACTTGCGAGTAGTTCCGTGAAACCACGTGATCAAGTCCGTTTCATATGCCGTCATTCTCGTTGTGAAGTGCACTGCGCCAACACCTTCCCAGATGGACTTACTACCGGCGTCGTTCGGGCGTGAGACGACGCAATAGAGCCGAGATTGACTTCATCGGAGAACTACTTGCAAACCTTGCAGCCAGACGTACGCCATATCCTCTCGTGACCCCGTCTACCGCAACGTTATACGAAATCCAATCAAAAAGCCTGAAGTAAAGGTTACATCAAAATGTTGCCATTTGTCGACGGTCATAGCCAGACGAGACGTTCACAGCAGAGAGAAAGACAGCAGGTCCACCCAAAGCGTCTTGTTACATTAATGGAGCATGACTATCATCAGACATTACATCCACCACAGTCTGTCGCACGCGACATCCTTCTCCTATGACGAGGCAGTGGGCAGGCACTCGCACGCCGAGCTGACACGTGAGATGACATTCTGTCCGCAAGCCTTGGACGCATACTCGGGCACGAGAGACACGTCAGCGACAAAAGTCTTGGTGAACTCGCCGCAGAACTTCTGGCTCTCCTCGAGACGACCAGAGATGGTGGAGGCGCGCATGGCGCGCAGGCAGTTGTCGGCGCTGCAGGCATTGGGCTTGCAGGACTCGCGCTTGGTCATCTTTACGAGGTAACCGCCACGCTCAATAGTGTTGACAAAGATATAACCAGACTTGAAGTAAGCGTAGGACGACCATGAGCCGGAGAAGGCGGGGACACCTCCGCCAGGAGCGTCATCATCCTCGGGGTAGATGTCGAAATAGGCGATCTCGCACACACCGTTACCAGTAGGGTCCTGGGGCACGGAAGAGACGTCGTAGACGCGGACACCGGCGCCGTAGTTGGACTGGTAGATGAGATCGCCGTTGACATACTGGTTGTGCGCGATGGAACGAACGGAGCCCCTTGTAGGATGCCCGTCTGCTTGGGGGTTCTCAAGTGACTTAATGTCCCAGATGGTAGGTAACGGGATATCCATCGGCGGCGGGGCCGGTTGTGCGCTCCTCGCCGTACTCGTCATCCATGAATAG